TCCAGATGGAGAGGGCATCCCAAGGAGTCAGTCTTCACTCCCCCTTTTACGGGGCAGACTACCTCTAATCTCCTATGGGGAGGGCAAGTCCAGGCAAGGTCAGTCCTGTTCCAGAGGGCTCCAGGTGTTCTTACTGAGCAAGTGCAGCCTTGGCACAATGGTGGGTTGCCTCATCTTTTGTTTCTTGAATGCTGAGGGTGGTTCCAAGGGCTGGGTCGTTTGTCCAGGTATTGGTGTTGATGGTTTGGTCATTCAGAGGGAGCTATTTTTAGACCTACTGCCATTGTCTCTCAAGCACCCTCATTCATCCCCTTTCATTCAGGAACCAAGTTATATAGGAGGGGTAGGTGCGAGTCATGGGTTACACAACCGGGCCTGGGGACAGGATGGAGACTTGACAAACAAAATGGAAACTTGGCATGCCTTATGCTAACTTACATATGTAGGCCTAAATCATATCGTACTAGTAAAACAGTAACATAGAACAGTAAAAATCAATATAAACATAATAATTATACAATATAAAGAAGAAGAAAAAATAAAACAAATACAACTTGCTACCAAAATAAAATGCTGAAGCTTATCCTATGTCTTAGATCACTTATACTTATCTATAGGGTATAGAGAGGGAAAGAAAAAGTCATAAATGGTTGGGGAAGGGGAGGGAATGCATTTTAAAAGAAAAAAAAAAAAAAAAGAAAAACTGGGGGTTTTGCTATACTTCCGTCATGTTGTGATCAGGGTTTCTACCCCCCTCTCTCTAGGCAAACAGCAACACACTTCCCTAAGCATTTACCTGCAGCAGGATACTTTAGAAACTCATCTGGGTTCATCTTTCAAGGGGATTCATTACAGGGCAGGGTTTGTCTCTCCCTGGCTGAGCTGACCTGGCTGACAGCTGGAAGCCAGGCATGACCGTCTCTGTCCCCCAGCACAGGGGGATCCTGCTCTCTGCCCAGTTCCAGCTGCTGTGCTAGCAGATAATGCCCTTTGGATTGCCCAGCCACAGTTTCAGGCATCCTTGTCAATGGCCAGATGCCAGTTTCGGCTCGTGAATGAGGCTGAAGGGATTACCCAGCATGCAGCTCCCACAGGACTGTGACAGCAATTCAGAAAACATGTGGCTCCAGCTGGGTTCAAGGATCTGTGTGCCTGCCTCTGCCAGAGTAGAGGGAGAAAGCCCTCTCCAGAGTGAGAGCAGCCACCTGAAATAGTGGCTCAGCAGCTCTGAGCAATGAGGCTCAAGCTGGTTTTCTGGGCTTGGCTTTGCCAGAGGAGATTGAAGTCAAAGGGCAGATCTGCATGGCAAAGGGGGTGCCAAGAGCACTGCTGTAGTATAAACCCACTGTGAGGGCTCTGAGCATGACAGTGGTGCCCCACTGCTGCCTTAAGCACATACTCCTGAACTCAACCAAGGGGGAGCTTTCTGCTTCTTCATCCTGAGAGACCATGGGATCTGATACCTGCAAGGGAAACATCCTCCCCCTGGTCCTGCCCACTGGACAGGTACAAAACCTCCCCACAACCCCCAAGCCAGGCAAGGCAGACAGAATCAGAGCAGTGGAAAAGACTTGAGTGGGTTTGGAGCTTCAGAACTGAAAAATCCCTTCCTCAGGTCTCCTACAGATCTCCCCAGTCCCTGTGCCTGCAGGGGCAGCTCAGCTGAACACAGGTTGTCCTAGTGGGGACACTGTGCCCTGGCTTGTGCTGTTTTGCTGAGCAAGGGGCTATGACAGACCCTCAAAGACTTTATGCTGATCAGCTCCCCTCCACCGGCTGGAGTGACAACAATACAGCCATTCACAGAGAGGAGACTGCTTAGGACCCAAAGCCTCAAGGCCACTGGAGGGGAAGGGGAGGAAGCCTCGACTATCCTCTGCCCAGCTTCCCACAGCTGCAGGATGAGGCCTAGAAACTGCAGTGTCCTGGCCCGGCTCCAGGAACCCACATAGCAAACATCCCTTTGAATAACTTACCCCTCCTGGCTGCGGGGCTCAGATGTACAGTGAAGGGAGGCAGCCCTGCAGGGCAAAGGCAAGGAATTTCAGTAGGAGGCAAGTGCCAGGTTTGCTTAACAACCAGATAGCGTAGCCCTTTGTGACAGCATTTATTAATGGAGAGGTATGCGGTGTTGGTGCCAGCTCTAAGATAAACAAGCTGGGGTCATTGGCATGGCCCAGCTAGCTCCCCCGCCCCTGGTGGCCTCAGCACTGGGAAACAACAGCACTAACCATTCTTCCCTCCTCTCATTAACTTTTTTCTTGTTCAGGGCTTCAGTGGGGCAGAGAAGCCATGTGAGAAACAGGCTTGAGGCTCTGGCCTGCGTGACACAGAGGCAGGCATCTGACACAGCAAAAATTTGATGGGAATGCCAACACAATTCTGTGTCAGGGTTAGGGATAGCAGGGTCTGTCCCCGTCTCTGCCACAGATGTCCCATGTGGCTTTGGGCAAATCATGTAGCCTCAGTGTACCTTTTGTCGACTAGGCAAAAATAAGAGCATCCCCCTGCCCTCCAAATTCGGTAAAGCCTACTCACCCAGAGGGGCTCACATCCAGAGGTCAGACTTTGGATCATCCAGTGTGTTGGCTTTGTGACTGCAGCTGAGGAACAGGGACTGAGGCCTCACACGCACACCTCACTTCCCACCCTCAACTAACCCAAACCCACCTACCTCCCTGCTGCTTCCCTGACTGAAATGACCACCTGACAAGGTTTTTGCCACCCTGCCACCCATAAGACCTTGAGCACGAACATTGCCACCTCTTTTCCACTTGGCAATAACTGTACCTGATGTTTCTGTGAAGAATTTTCCATCCTTTTTTCTATGGAAGGAAAAGCCGCAGGGACAATCCTCCTCCCTAGCCCTGATACAGCTTTGAGAGTCAACAGGGCAAAAGAGAACTCCACCCTTTTATGCTCCTCTGCTCATTTAAAAACCAAGGCTCTTGTCATTGTCAGGCATCAGACCTCCACCAGAAACAAAGCTCTGGGCCAGGGTAGTGGGGGATGTGTGTGATTCTGCTTCAATGGCCCTTCACATCCAATCAATGCTAATGAGCTGTCTGGTGTTCAATTGGAGCCCAGTGCATTGCCCACCAGCTCCATTCACTGGTGGTTCAGACTGGAGGCAAGTTATTGACTGTTAAAATCCAGAAAGAGAAAGTAGGGCAACCTTCAGTGGGGAGGGGAATTTGCTTCTGATCACACAGCTTTATGTCATGGCCATGAATGAGCTCAGCTCTGTGATGATGAAAGGGAAATGGTTACAGCCATGATGCCCAGAACTCAGGTTGTGTGTTAATGATGGTGAACTTAATTGGGGCCTTAAGTCAAGGGGGATGTAGCAAGGGCATAGGATGCTTAATGACAACTCACCCTGAATCGTGAATGGCAGGATATTCAGAGCTGGGTAGACACTTCATTCAGTCATAGCTGCCTTGGTGTTCTGGACACACAATTCTTAGCCAAGTGGCTATGAGGACCCCCAGCAAAGTGAAACAAATTTGCCCATGCTTGAGGGTAAGAAGGTACTTGCATTCTTTGCTGAATCAAGGCCCAGGGAGTGCAGGTCCAATCTCATTCTTTTTGAGAAAGGGCCACTGACCAACAACAACCATGCATCTCTGCCTTGTGAGATGACAGGGTAGGAATGACAATGATACAGTTTGCCATTTCTAATGTTAGGGGCCTCTCCTGTAGCTGGCAGGAGGGACAGCTCCTTACCGATTTGTCTTAGACAAAAAGTCACTCCCACGGGGTAGAGGACACTCTACCTTGTTAGAAAAGACTGTGTCTTCACTTACCAAACTGAGCACAATTCCCCCAGGACCAAGGAAAGATTTTATCACCTGGGAAAAGACACTGTTGTGAAAAATGTAGCTACTTTCTCTCATCTCTTTTCATTGTAGCACTGGCTGAAAAACCCAGCTGCACAGGAGCCTCCCCTCCTGGCTGGCCAGGACTCCCCTGTTCAGCCTTTCGCTGACTGGGTTTAAGCAATGGAGATTTCTAGCCCACATGTTCCTCCTGTTTCTCTGCTCTCAGTCCAAGGGAGCAGGCCCCATAGCATGGCGCATGCTGCAAAGCTCAGTGCAAGACAGACAGGGAGGCATAGCTGCAGATTAGATTCAAAGAGTGAAATCAAGGATTACCCCAGCTCTGAGAAGCCTGTGATGTCTTACATTAGGCCATTCCAGCATAAGCCCCTGGGTGAAGTACAAAAACTTCTTTTACAGCTGTAATTTCTCCCTGGGCAAGTCACACCATGACTGGCAGCTTGTAGAGCCCTGCAGACAACACCAGTGCCACTACCCTTGGACAAAAACCCTGACTATATGGCAGCCTTTAAATAACAGAAGATTCTTCAAAGACACAGTCCAGGAGGTGCCCAGAGTCAGCAGCAGATTCTCCCTGCCTAGAGACAGCAAAGCAAGACAAACCCTTCCCTGCATCACCCCTTAGTGCTATGCCAAGTGTGACTTGACAATCTAATAGCAAGAGCCCTGCTCTGAATGCCAAAGCCTGGCATTCAAACTGTAGCCAGCTCCATGAGGCATGAAGTTATGCCAGTTCCACTTGGACTCAGCTTTGGCAGCCTGCCTTCACAAAGGTGGGCTCCCTATTGCTTGCCCTCTTCTGCTGTGGACTGGGTATCTATATAGAACCATTGTTAGCCCTGCTAGTCTGAAGTCAAATAAAAAGCAGGGTCAATTTACACCTTATAAGGCTAACCAAAGTAGTTCCATCTATTATGAGCACAAGCTTTTGTGAGCTGAAGCTCACTTCACCAGATGCTGTGAAAGGATGTTCAGAAAGAGTATAAGGAGAGAGAAACTGGAATACAGAAGACACGGGAGGGTGAGTGACTCTAGGTATCTGTATGAAAAAGACCTGGTTAATCAAAACGAAGTTATGGGCAATAGCTAGGAGTCACTGGGTGAGGTGCTTACACTCATGCTCTGCAAAAGCTCATATCAGAGACTAATGAGCCTGTTTGGCTTTGAGATCAGTGAATCACTCCTTATTTCTCAAATGCCATTTCCTATACACGTTCCCAAGGGGGTCTGAAAGGAACTCGGAGTCAAAATGATTTGAGACAAGCTTCTATCTTCCTAAGGTCACTTTTTAGGAGAGTTCATTTATACAAAGTAGGCAAAGTGAGGGGCTTAAAAGGGCAGACCTCACCTTCACAGCCAGAATCCCCAGGGCCACCACCTCAGAGGGGAAAAAAAATGACAATTCAGTCTCCATCCCTCAGATTTTCCTCCTTGTTTATGACAACACAGCACCTAAGGATGTTAATGACTGCCACTGTTTTGGTATGAGGACACTTGCCTATGAGCCACTGGAATAAGACCCATCACAGGTATTTCACAAAAGCTGTGCAATAGTCTGCGGATAGCTGTATAGCTAAGTCAGTAGGGAACTGGGCTAGATGAGTATCAGGCAATGAGAGGTAAATTACATCACATTTCATGATCAAAACACTGTGAGATGAGTTTCTGACCTCAGTCACACCTGGCAAATCTGGAATAACTTGAACTCAGTCAACAGCAGATACTCAATTTACTTCCTATACTTGGGCCAGTAGATACTGAATTCAAGAACTCCGATACCATGGCAATGGCGATGGTCTGAAACAGCTAGGTAGGCATGAGAGGGGCTCATAGTGGGCATGTCTACATGTGAGCTTTAATTCACAGTAGCCTATTTTACTACACATCAAAGCGTCACGTAAAACACCATGCTATTATGCTGATGTGCAGTAAAAATAGGCTACTGCACATTACATGCCACTTAAAAACCACGCACATTCATTACTGCACATTAAGGCAGCCTAATGCGTATTTATTTAGTACCTCACATTGTAGGTACCAAATTAAATGCACATCAGGAAAAGTGCCTTAATACACAATTTAGCTGCATCCAGTGAATGCAATTGTTTTTGGAGGTGGAACGAAGGATCTTGGGAAGTCTTTTGTGACCACCAAACTGAATCACAGCACTCGTAGTCTGCCCTCGGTTCCCAGCCTGCACCTCCCATGGCAGCTAGGAGTCAGTAGATGCATTATTTAGATGTTGGTGGACAGGCATGATTTTTCTCTGTGTTTATACAGCACCTTGCACAACAGCAGCAGGTCGTCAAGTGCGTGACTGGCTCCGAGGCTCTATCATAATATAAACAACATCCCAGGCTATTATTTCACCAGCCGATTCTCATGCCAGCAAGAACAGCAGCGAGCTGCCTGGTCCGGACCTACCCGGCATCTGCAAAGGAAAGGCATCATCATAATGTTGCTGGGCTGGTTTGTGATTAACTTATAAAACTGGCTCTGCTAGAAAACGTGGGAAAGAATTCAAAGCGAAAAAAGCATGGACCAGGAACAAGGCACCTTCGATTCACAGCTTTTTTTTTATTCAGTGCATCTGAAAAGTGCCAAGGTCTGAAGTCTGTTCTGTGTTCAGGGTCACAGCGTGGGAAGCAACAACACGAGTATCCCTTGCAGTGAGATTCCCGTACTTGGCCTGGGCCAGAAGGGATGAATGTCTTGGACCCAAAGGCTAATTATTATTTACATACAGCTCTAACCTGCTGCAACCTTGTCTTGGTTTAACTATTTCATCTCTTATTTATGAGAAAGACAAACCTATTAAGTACTGGAGTGAAACTCTTAACCCCTTCCACACAAGACCCCACATGAAAGATCTATTTCCACCAGAATTTTGGATTGAGTTGCCAGATAGATCCAGGCAACTGAGACTTTTTCAGTTAAAAAGGAGGTATATTCAACCCCACCAAAACATGTGGTGAATAAAAAGAAAAAGAAGGAAAAACAATTTAGTCTGAGAGGTTTGAAACCAAATTTGATTTTTTCTTCAGTTTGAAAAGTGTTGTTCTGACACTGACAACACATGCCCAGTTTTTTCTATTTGAATTGTACTCCTCCACTGGAATTTGAATTTTCGGGAAAGAGAAAGAGAGAGAGAGAGAAAGTTCAACCTTTAACTTCCAAAATTATTTTTTAAAATAACTTTTTGGTTCATCAAAAGCCACCCCCCCACCACACACACACACACACACACACACACACACACACACACACACACACACAAAAGCAACATTTATGGCTACTCCAAAAACTTGCCAGAGAACTGACAAGCCCACTGTTCACACAGCACTCATCCAGAGGTGAAAAGATCCATGATCAGCAAGCGAAGCAGAGCCTTCCCCAACTTCTAATTCAACAATATAATTAACAACAGGGACTCCTGAGACTGAAGTCACATTGGGGTAAGACGAAATATTCACATTTAAGAATTTAAACTTGTCAGCAGGTCAAGCCGCCAAGAAGTTTGGAATCGGGTCTTGAATTATTTTGCCAGTAGTGGGAGGTGTTTGGTATCAAGGTTTTGGATCAGGTACAAGGCAATTCAATGGTGTGGGGGAAAATCCACTGAAAAAAAAGCATATTCATCAGCTTGTGAATATTTTGGAGTCGACACCCCACTACCCTACACACAACAGTGTGTCATAAAGGAGGTGGAGTTTACCCAGCCATTAGGCACGGCCTTTACTTCAAGCCTGGAATCCTACGCTCCGTGACACACAGAACACTAACTTCAATTAGCAGGTGTGCAGCCAAGGGTGGAATTAAGCCTCACTTTTTATTTGTAACCCACTGACAAAAGCCATTTCACATCACCCTCCCGTCCCAATGTCAGTCTGATTACCTTATCATCTCTCACGGCTACATGCGTCAACATTTTCTGCTCATACGCCGATGGCAGGAAGTGCAAAGAATAGTCCTGACTGTTTGACTAGAGCTTGGCAAACACTTCCGAAGGATCATTTATACCAGCATTCATGAATGGGGTTGAAGGAATACCAGCCACAAACCTTCACCTAAATCCAGGACTGAAATGCTGAGCTTGTTCAAACTGAACAGCAGTGTTGGTCAATCGTTAGCAGCTAGCTTTTCCTGTAGACAATAAACCTGTGTCCAAAAAAGGCAAGTTCCTGGAGCTGTTGCCACACCAACCTTTTGGGTTTGTTGAATCTTTTTTTTTTTTTTTTAGTAGAGATAAAACTTCTTTAAAACCCCCAAAATTCAAAAGATTATTTCTTAGTTAAAAAACCCAGAAAAACTTACCGTATAAAAATCCCATGTGAATATAATCCAGACATATACATATAAGCCCAAACCATGGCAAAGGGGAGCCTCCATCTCCCCCACTCCCCAAAATGATAACCACTTTGCAAAGAAAGTACCAGAATAAAACCACAAAAAAAAAACAAAATAGCCTTAGGATTCACTGGGCATGTCTACATGAGAAGCTAAATGCACAGTAGACTAATTCTACTTCACATTAGGGTGTCACAACAAAAGCCATGCTAATGTGCAGTAAAATTAGTCTACTGTATATTAGCATCACTAAAAAGGCGTGCACCTTGAGTGGTACTAAACTTACAGGTACTAAACATAATGCTTAGTAACTATGGTGCATTAATGCACATGTAGACACATCCACTGTTGCTTTAAAGAAGTAGGCACCGTTCAAGGGTTAAGGTTTTAGGCCAGTACTATCTGGAAGACATTGGTTTTGGGTGCCTGCTACTCATCTATGCTTTGAGGGCTAGAGGCATGGTCTACACCCTTTCAAGCATTTGCAGTGCATACAGTAGATTGTGAATTCTTTACATTGGCCCAGCTCTATTTCAAGGGAAGCTGGAAACAGGAATTCTTAAATGAAGTCCGCATCAGCTGAATCGACCTTATTTTTAACTGAAATGAAGTCCCTGGTGCCAGAACTGGTCATGATCTGTAACATGGGGTTCACCAATCTGCAAAACCTGTTGCAGAAGTTCGGAGATTACAAGGACTGTCATGATCAGCCAGTTTCACCTCCTGTGTAACCGAGGACAGAGAATCCCAGTCCTGACTCCAGCATTACTAACTCGCAGTTGAATTAGGACACGTGATTTCAAAAGGCATCCAAAATTGTCTCCCAGTGAGGGAGAGTCTACCACACTGCTTGTAAGCTTAAGTCCTACCCGAGGCAGGCAAAAGACAGAGAGGCCTCATAAAGGTCCTATACCTATTTAACCCATTGGTCAGTATGCTTGTACACACTTTTAAGAGTCAAGAACATCATCTGACAGTGACTGCCAGATTGGGCCCTCGAATTAAAGGCCAGCCTCAGAGGCTATGGTGGACAGGAACAAACAGAAGCACAAAGAAATATATTGTGGGGCATAGCCCTACCCTGAGAAGGGCTTGTTACCCTGGCATCTCTGTGTTCCCCGACTCTTGCCATACAACCTTTTCTGTTCATATTCTCGCAGTACTGACTAGAAACCCATTTCCTGGGCCCTAGGAATAGTCATGCTTTCATATGAACCTCATGCTGCTGAGATGTTTTCCTTCTTTTTGAAAGAAAATCTTAAATAATCAAAACATGACCCAAAAAATTCTGAAAAACGTGTACTTTATCACTTACTTAAATAACTATAATTCAGGTATTAGGGGAATAAAGAACAGCCAATCACAGTAACATATTACAGAAATCAAAATTAATTTAACCACACAAAATAAATTAAAACATTAAATATTAACTTTTTCAGTGCAACATATACAGAAGACATTAGAATAACCATGACTAAAAAAAAAAAAAGCTCCAGGTTGGTTATAATAAAGTCAAAAAGTATGGGAGGAAAAAAAAGTTAACAATTCACTGGAGGCTAGAGCACCAGCTGAAGAAGGCTTCCTAGAATTAAAGTTCATTTTATTTATTAATAAAAAGTTATTATCTGCCCCAGAAAATTAGTGTGGTCCATGCAATGAGTACTTGTCCTATTGTCTTTCAAGTTTCTGAAGCATTCTAGGCTACTTAGCTGAAAATGGACTTGGGTGGAGGACTATTTTGGGAGGTAAAAATATCCAACCATTGGGGAAAAATGCAAGTAGGCTTCTCCAGGCAATGAAGGGCCTGGAGCTGAAATAGCCCAACTACTGGCACAAGAATCTGCTTCATCCCGAAGAAACGGGGGTGATTTTCAGAAGCACAAATACTGGCAAGACACCTAGCTCCCCAAGATCTGCAAAGCTGAGGGCTCAGCATTTTTTCACGCCTGTGAAAAACTCCTACCACTGACAACTGCATTCAATCAATACAGTGGAGCTCTGATTCCAGCACCATTGCTCCTTAGGATGGATTGATTATAATGCAGCTTAATGCTGCTTTCAGTTACGCTGTTATACATCTGGATGGCTCCGACTGTTTCTAAAAGCTTCCCCAATGGAATTACTTTTGATTCATACAAAGCCAACAGAGCTACACCTCTTCATTCTGTCCCTACGTTCTCAGAGTGAAATCCTGGCCCCATGGACATTAATGGTAAAACAATGGAGCTAGCCTTTCCTCTCTGTGTCTCCAGAAATGCTCACATTCACAGAGTGAGGAGCCATTAGTGCTATCGCAGCCTTTTGCTACAGAGCTTAAGGTTCTCTCAGTCCCTAAAAATTGCCTTGAGAAGCATCTGTCCAATTCTTGGCATCAATGGAGTCAACTGAAAGAAAGAGCCATTGGCTTCATGAAGAGCATGACTTGGCACCACCTTGATATTCCTGCTATCAAAAGTCCACAGTGTATCAACCCCTCCTCTCCTCACATTCCACATCCACCAGCCACGAGAGCTTCAGGTGTGAGTGTGATGTTAACACCTTTCATCCTGGAAATGTTTCAGTAGATTTAAGCTGCAACTTGGCATCAAGGAGGAATTCTTACTTGCACTCCTGACCCAGGTGTAGATGGAAAAGCCATTATGGGGAAGGAAGGGGGCAATTCTGATCTCAGTTTTAACATGTCAGCCAAACATACGCTGCCATAAGAGCAGTATTTCTAATAGGTTCTTTGCAAACAGTGAAATAAAAAGGAAGCCCTCTAAAACCTCCCCTCTCTGCATGCCATCTTAATGAAGTGGGATCCCACCAAGTCACATTATTTAGGTATCAGCATGAAAGCCTGGAAATCCTGGAAGATCAGACAATGGCAAGGAGACTATCAGAGAAATAGCTTACAAACTCTCCTTTCTGTCCTTATATATATTAATTTCTCTTTAAATGAACAGCCAGGAGAGGTGGGTGGGAAGCAGTGCTGAATCAGATCCTCAGCCAATGTGAATTGATGCAACTCAGCTGACTTCAACAGAAGTATGTTCATTTGCACTGGAGGAGACTCAGGCCTCTGTTTTTAAGGCCAGTGGATACACAGATGCTCCTGCTAGCAGGTCAGAGCAAGAGGCAGTTGGGAACTTTAAGAGACATATTGAAAGGTCAAGGTCTAAGACCCTGAACTCCCCAAAATGCATGCCCATGCTGTGGTCCATCTTATGAGCCATGATAACATGCTCACAGTCTGAGCTGGTACAGCCGAATGGCAGCCAGCATGAAAACTCTTATATGGAGGAAGACATCAAGCATGTCAGAACCTCATGCAAAATGCACAGATCCAGTCAGGCTTTCTGCGAGCTTCCTGGGGTGCTCCCAACATAGAGGCCAATGCATCTGCCTGAGAAAGGACTTCACCTCATCATGCGATGGGAACAGCGGCGCAGGGAAGAGAACTCAGGGCCTCTCACATTCACAGGGACAGGTCTGATGAGCGAAGGAGGCTTGTGAAATAAAGCGTAACGGAGCCCTGATGGGTGTGTGCATCATGGCATGAAGAGGCTTAAATAATTCAACTAGGGGAAATGATTCATTATTTAGTCTTGTTCTGGAAATAAAAATCAGAAGAGGCAATAAGGGCCTGATGTTGCAGGTGCCCAGAACCTCTCACAAGTCTGTGAGAACACAAGGTATCCAGCACCTGGCAGGATCCAGTACCTAAATGTGCAACTTCCATGAGACTAAGCTGGAAAAAAAAAAGTCTGTGAAACACGAAAAGGGAGCAGAGCCCCCACTCCCCTGGAGAGTTCTGCATGCTTAAGGGGAGGCGAGGGGAGAGGAAGAAGAGGAGGAATCATGAGAGAAACCCACGGGTATCAAGTTCCTCAGGAGCTCAACATCCAAAGGTAAAGCTTGCATGACACATAAATCAACTGAAATTATTCCTAGGTTCCAGAACCAGGGCCAGTGGAAGAATCCATCAGGCTTACTAGGAACGAGGGGCCCAATTCAAACAAGCTGATCTGCCTCAGTTAAGACAGCAATATAGATATGATCACCATTCTCTAATCACCTTCAACATTTGCGTTGGTGCCAATCACCAGGTAGCTTTCATTGTAGGAAAACAGCCTCCAAAGACCCTTGGCTTTTTGTGGGGGTTGAAAACAGAAAATGCTGGCTTTCATCAGGTTTTGAGAGAGAGAGAGGTGAGAGGGAGAGAGAGAACACAAATTGCACCTGTTTTTCCCTACCAGGGGCTGACTAGACTAACGCTTGCAAGATTTCTTCCCCTAATGTTTTGCTTCTAAACAACGAGCATAATTCTGCTCCTAAACTACTTGCTAATCTGGAGCCCAACTCAGAGCAGGTTTTACCAGGGCTGTCTGTGATAAAGACAGGCCCAGTTTCCACCGGGAAGAGTGAATCTGTCCTGAGTCTTGCATTTTGCTATGCAGATTTGTGAAGTGAACTTTGTGCCAAATAAGACTATTTTGCCCACCTGACGGTCAGTTTTTTGTGGCCACGCTGCAGCTCACTGCACTTGCAGATTCAGACATATTGATGAGAGGCATGATCTTGCAAACTTTTTAATAAGCAGATTCCCTGCTCCATGCAATATTCCCACTACCTGGCCCAACTGTGATCTCAGGGCAGAGCCACCTGGGGTTCATTTTACCCACTGGAGTTCTGCTATAGACTCCTCATATGTACTAGTATGAATTAAGTCTATTCCCACAACAGAAGAAATTGCAGGGACAGGCTCCAAACTTCATGGTGTTTAAGAGTCTGAACAGACAGCAATGAAAAAAATGCAACAGGCCTGTGTCTAAAGGTCCCGATCTGAAGCCCATTCAAATGGATGGAAAAACTTCAGTTTGCTTTGGACCAAGCTGTAAATGCATAGTTTCCCAACATCCCAACTTCAGCCATTGTGTGGGTCCCCCATGTTTCAACTTTCCAGGACATTAAAAAACCCAACCCACTCTTCCCCAAAGACCTGCAAAACTTTCTGCTGTTGGATCTGAAATGCAAATGGAAGTCAAGCCTGGAGGCCTTTCTTTCATGCTTGACTGAATGCCATTTCCCCCCTTCCAGCAGGTTCCTTCATGGTCAAAAGGAACTGATGGTCAGAACGAGACTAGGTGCTCCTGGCTTGTCCACTTTGTCCCACATCGTCCACAGACTTTGTTGGCAGGTTGTGGCAGCAGCAAAGGGAACTGAAGTCAGCCTGTTCCTTTGAAATGACCGCTTCTTCTCTAGAAAGACCAACATGCCACCACTCCTAGCACATTCAAGCTGTAACAAATGCATGAACCAGACACCCAGCCTTCAGATCCATTCCACAGAGTCTCAGAGCAGGACAGATACCAACAGGGCATTGAGTGAAGGGAAAAAAAAAAAAAGAGGGACAAAAAACAAGAAAACAACCCAACCTGAACTGCACACACTCCTGTTCCATCACTGGTGCCAAACCCCACCCTAACACACAATTGTCATATCTACGTAAACATGAAGCTGACCCATGTGCTGCTCCCATGTCCAAGTCTTTGAACTCTTGTAAAAGTCTTTAAGAGTCCATGGTTAAAATGTGGTCTTCTAATTAACTTCTCGACTCCACATTGCATAGCCCCAAACAGATGGTGGCCTTGGTTTTGCAAGGTTCTGAAAGCTCAGCATATAATACAGGATGCATATGAAGGTTCAAGGGAAGGTAGAAAATGCTCAATGCTAATCCCTCTCAAAGCATTGACTTCCATGGGAAAAAAAAAAAGTTCTCCGGAATAGCATAGGCCTTCTTATGCTACAGCAATTCCATCTGGCCATGGCAATTAATGTGTCGGTAAAATCCTAGTCCCCTTCAGACCACTGCAGAGAGACAAGAAATAAACACACAAGGGAATTCTAAATTACTTCAGTGGAATTAGCAGAGCCTATAATTGAGCTTTAGTCTAGCAGTAGAAGACAACCAAGTGAGTAACACTGCAAACACACATTGGGGACCCCATTCCAGCAGTTACCCTGTGACATTTTGAGACCAATCTAATTTTCACAGAAGGTTACTCAATACTCTCTGGAGGGGCGGAGGTGAAAATGAGGTCCCTGCAAGGCCACCAACTCAGTCACATCTGATAATTTAGGGCAGGGGAGTTTAGGAAGCTAGTTTTCCCTGCTTGCTTAGTCGGAAAAGTTAATTTGTGAATGCCTGTCACAGCACTGAATGTAGCTATAAGAGCTCCCTCCCCTCTTTATGGGTTTACAAAGTGATCTCTTGTATGGTCTTGTCCTGTGTTTGTGCAGCACCTGGCACAAATGAAATCCTGATTCATGATTAAGACTGCCAGATGCTACGATAATACAGTAAACGACTCTGAGTGATGTAGTGCCTCATCTGCACTTCACAGCTATTAAGACTGCCACAGTTGGCTCATAAGAGGACTCTCTAAATTAAAGATAAGACAGACCTGTAAGCTGCCTTTGTAAATATACTCACTCATCTATAAGCCAGACACCCTTTGGCAATAAGGAATAAAAGCTCTCTGCATAACTCATAGTCCTTCTCAATGAATGAAGAATACAGGCCAACTTCAAAATAAATAAATTAGGAAGCAAGACAAAATTAAAGACAAACAGGAAGAGATTGGGAAGAGTTCCAGCCTCTGTCCAGACAATATGTCATATGTGACCACAAAAGCTATCAAAATTAGGTACAAAAATGCCACATTCACAGGCAATTCATGAGGCACCGAATCTTCCAGGTGGAAGCAGCTTTTACAGAGCTCCTCGAAGGGTTAATTTAGTCTAAAGTCACAGGATATACCTTGCAGTCAGTGGGCCTTTAGGGCTACAAACAGGACTTGTTTATATGCAGATGTGGAAACTTGAATGAGTCAAGGATATGGTTTATAAAGTCACTTTATGGTGTGCTTAAGTCACTCCCTATCCAAAAAAGCACCTTACAGATTACTTGGGCTGTCTCTAGAAAGACAATGTATGGAGGGACATTTCCAAAGAGCTGCAGAGGGTGACTGATTGCCATGAAACTTTCAAGCTCTTCCTCTCATGGCCTACGGCATGAGCATAGGTGGCAGATCCCACTCTGGGCCTTGTTCACAGAGGACAGGAGTCTGGTACAGCATCTGCTGGTGAGCCTCAAGCCCCTCTGTCCTGGCTTTGGCTTCCTAGACCTCTGGACTCAAGTCCCAGCATCTCAGACTGTGAGGACCTCTATCACGGAGGGATGATTGTACTTTCTTTTTAAGCAACATCCTTTGGCCCCTGTTCAAATTCAGAGGCAGTGATTTTACAGCTACTGGGGATCCAGTTCTCAGACATCATACCTTTCCAGTAATATATAGGTCAGTAAATAACAGACAAGTGATCCTCTGTCTCTCACCTGCTGGGACTCTGCTCTGACACATGAGAACTGCAGTCTCTGGGGTGGAGCTCGTGGAAGGAAACCCCTGATGTAACGCTGGTTCCTCCTTACCTGTCTCTGAATGACAGCAAGAAGCTCCCCCCTTCAGGAGCCCACCAGGCTTCTCATGTCTGCAGACAAAAGCTCGGCACCACTCGCAATGCTTCCTTACCCGACAGCAGCTGAAATGACATGGAGGGGAGAGCAGTGACATTAGGATGCAAACAAGAGCCTGGACACAGACACGGGAGGAGACAACCATGGACCCATCTCACTGTTTAGCAATAATGGGCAGAGACCAGCGTTCTGAGCCAAATCCTGTGGTCAAGCTCCACTGACTGCATGTGCACCCGTGTAACAGAGCAAAATGTGCCTTTATTTGCTTACAAATTGGGCTGTGCTCGACTTCGTATGGCTCCTACTGGAAGCATCACAAAAGAAGCCACTTATCACTGTAATTCTATTCCCACTCTAGGCTTGGCCAGCATCCATTAGTACAGCACTGTCTCAGGACAGGGACGGAAGGCTTTTGTGGCACTGGGGAAATTCAGGCAGACAGAATGATGCTGGCTCATCCCTGGCAGGGCTGCACTGAAGCACAGAGATAAATTTGGGTCTAGTAATTACCCAAGCTGAAGTCTGAGCTGAACGTTGGACACTCAAAGCCCTGCTCTTAATGGAAGATGCCTTGAGATCTTTCAGCAAGCAATTCAGAGCCGAAGGACAGTCTTGTGCTTAAGGCACTTGCCTGGGACTTGGGCTCTAATCCCCATCTCTGACAGAAATTACCTGGTGTGATTTTTGATAAATTTCTTGTTCTCTCTCTGTTTTCCCACCCCCCCGCACATTCAGGGAAGAACCCAACCATGCACCAGGTTTCAGTGCAAAGTTATACATTTCCCTGAGTCAACCCCCCTGGGCCTCTGATACTCCTCTGTAAAACAGGGCTAAAGATAATCCCCCTCCTACCCTCTTCTCTTTGCCTGCCTTCTCTATTTCATTCCCAATCTCATTAGGCCAGGGGTTGACTCCTGCTATCTGTGGGTGCAGCATTTAGCACCAGGGAGAACCAATCACATTTGAGGAGCAGATTAATAATTCTGGTCTATGCCACACAGAAAAGTGGTGGCGAGAGACCTGCAGTGTATTTGGAACAAAGAGTACTCAGTGGCCTAATTGCATGGATTGGTTTGTTGTTGAAAGATCCATTTACAGGTATATATTACCCACAAGAACACTGACAATTAGGGCAAGACAAACATGCAGTTTATTGCGGCTATCCTAACTGGTTTGTCCATTTAAACTCCTCATTCATAAGGAGATCAAGAGCTAACTGAACGGTGAGCAAAGACACGCAGAAAAGGCTATGAAGAAATGTCCCTCACAATGCAAACCATTCAGTTTAAGAAATCACCCACAGTAGCACTTACCTGTTTCTCTAAATTACAAAGTGAAGACACTAATTTTAGCTTAATAAAAATATTCATGCTGTAACATGGGTCTTAATTCCTCAGGGCAGGAGGACACTAACAGAGTACACAAGGATTATTGTTCTCTAGCGCTCCAGCTACATGCAGTAAGACAAATACAATTCCTTATTACCTTCACAAAAGGCAAAGCTTTCTACCAATCAGGGGGCAGAGACCTGCATTCTCCCTACACCAGTTGAGGTCACTGGTACATTAACACTTGAAGGAATGCAAAAGAGAACTCTGCTTAGTGACTACATCAACTGCAACTGGGAAAAGAATGGAGCCCCAAGCCCTGTGATGTGCAGATCTAAACACAAACACCATTCACTCCCACTGAATACACCCAGCAAAGTTACATCTTGAATCCAATCAGCTCCTGACGTGAAATGTGTGCCCCTGGCTGAATTCAGTGAGGAATCGAAGTGTGTGTTACTTACAGCTCCTTTTCTTCCCGTAGTATTCAAATGACAAACTATGCTCTCTTCCTTCTACTGATCCTCCCCGAATCAACTCTTAATGTTGCCCATATTTTGGGAACAAGCTTGTAACACTTAGTCTTTAACATTAGCTTTCAAGTTTATCCATTTCAACTGGACAAGCCACAGTGATGTGTAAGGTATCAAAAAGAAAGGCATGCAATCAAACTTTTATCCAAGTAAGATTCACCTTGGATACTTATGAGTATGAACCCCCGCAAACGTAAATTGGGAACAACATAAAGCAACGCTTGAAAGGGAGTCCAAATTTGAGTCCATGTTCACATAGAACCAATGCCCAGTTGGACAGGGATTTTGGGTCTAACCAGATCTGCATGGATTCTTCAGCACTGCCAAGACAATTAAAGACCCAGAAAGCACGCCATGTGTACTTACTGTATTAGCACACACACCACAATAAGTACGACTGATGCTACCACTGACACCACCACCAAGGCAGTTATGGTTTGTTTCTTCTGGTTGGCAGCTACCACGGCAAGGAGGTCTGCATGCTCGCAGCGCGTCCCGACATACCCAGAATGGCAGCTGTGGAGAAGCAAGCAAATTCAATGCTAAAAAATAATTGTATGTGCGTAGGGGCAAATCCTACTCTAATCCAAATCCCTTAGACAGACAGACTAACAGTACGTCAGATTCCCACTTGAAGCCCAATACTATAGCCCATTCTTGGCTAGCACCCCCACAGAAATCAGAGTGACATCTACCTGACCAGGAGCTACAAGGCAAGGCAATGAGCAGACACTTGCCTAGTGACTTGTTAAATTTCTAGGCAGAACTGTTAAGTCAGCAAAATCCATCAATCTTGGCTTGATTTTTCAAGACACTGAGCATATGCAAACCCTCTTTGTTTAAGCCAATGGGACTTTTGGGGAGTTCATTGCTACTAAACATCAAACTGGTGATATACATAATCATAAACAAGGCCTCTTGAGCCTCAACTTCATGCACCCATGCTGGAACATTTTGACTTTTGTGTATGAATAGCCGGAGCTTATGCTTTCTCAAGGGAAGGAAGCAGAACTCAGGGCCTCCAAAGCAGTAGCTGTGGTTAAGATAAAAAGTCTCATGTTCCCCTCTATTTGGTCCCAAGTCTGTGCACTGATCAGATAGAAGGGTAAGCCTGGATCTTTTGCAATGAATAACCCCTACTTGATGCAGAGGGGTACCTCTTCTACTGCATCAGGGAGGCAGGGATGGCTCTGTGCGGTCTCAGTAGCTGCTCTCAGTTACTGCTTTCTAATGGCTTCCTAAATGCTCCCTTGCTTTTGGAATTCCTCTTCCTGGACAGCCACTAGCAACCAGCAGTAAATGACTGTTCTGCTCAAGGTCTTTCATCAGGGCTGCCCCCAGTAACCCTAACAGGGGAAGTCCAGGCTTAAGTCCCTCTCCCTAGGCAAATGCTCCAATTCCTTTATCGCCAGCAGCTCTCCTAGAACAAACAGGCAAAGGGCACTGCCTGTTTTCAGCCATTTCACATCCATTTTCTATTCTGCATCTAAAACTGAACTGCAAAACATTCAAGACGGAAGGGACCTTATTGGGTGCACTACCCAGGTTTGGATGGCCAGCTCTGTTATCCCCATTTTAGGTTTCAATGACCCCAGTGTTTTACTTGTTCTCCCACCCATGCTGGTGAGATTTTAAATGGAGCATAATATGATTAGGCTCTAAATTCACCCTGGCCTCTGAAGATTGCAGCCCATGTCATTTCTTTAGCTGTGAAAAACTATTCCAGGGATGATGTCACAAGCCATGTGGTTCCAGTTTGTAATTTTCTGTCCCAAAGTAAATGCCATAGGCAACATGCACTTGTATCAGCTTTCCTGTCATTAGTCTATACAGCTGCCTGAAAAGATGGCTTCTCATCTGCAGACACGCAGGGCATGTCTACATGTTGCCCTATGGTGATGTAGTGATGCGCTATGTAGCAATCTACACGTGATCACCAGCTACGTTACTGTAGCAGCGCGCTCCCTGGATACAGCGCACCACTACGGTGACATAGTTGGGAAATCTAAGCGTGTGCCACCAGCGTGGTGCAGCAATCACTAATATTGCGCCATGTTTTAGTACTTTCAAAGGGAAGTACTAAAGCATGGTGCCACAGCAACGTTGTCACTTTTCAGCGATGTGTAGACACTCCCACAAATTACTTTACCGGGGTGGGGGGGGAGGAACGGACACAATACTTACATGCATGCTGGCTTATCCTCTTGCACCAAAAATCTGCAGGTCCCATGGAAGCAGAACTGACTGTGGGAATCGGGGCAAGCATTAAAATGGGATCTGACTGCTGCCGCCACTGGAGGACCTAGACAGGGAACAGAGGAAAGAAACCATATTGAGACCTGTTTCCAGCTCCATGTGTTTGCCCAGTCTGGGTTCATCTTCTGATTTAAGGCTTTGCATGATGCAGAAGTTTAAAGAGCCCAGGCCACAAAGGCAGTTTTACTGACCCAGGCAGAACACTGACAAAAGAGTTTGAGAGGATGCAGGCTCTTCACACGGCTTTTTCTTTCTTTTTTTTTTTAATCATCCTGCAGAACTTATGAACAGAGTTCTAGAGAACAGGCCAAAAACTCTGTGGTGGAGGCAACCTCTTCTATGAGGCCCCAGAGAGGTTTAGAGCAATTCCTGTCAAAACCTATTGCTTTTGTCAGGTATCAGACACCCATTCATTTTAGTAGAAAATCGGGCACCTTTATGCAGCTTATGTAACCACCACCTTCCTCCCCATCAGTTCTACAGGGCTCCTCTCATGTTGGTACATTCCTTTGAGCCTTAATCATTACAGATCGATTCCTAGAGCGAGTTAAGTACTGGGGAAGGCAGCCAGCTAGCTTGAGTTTTGGGGAAAGCAGGTTGAAACAAAACTCAAGACGACGTTACAACTGCTTCCACCCAGCCTTAATTCAACCTCTCATCCGTCAGAACAGAGAGGTGGGGAAACACGACAGGAGACACTACAGGACACAACAAAGAAAAAGGAGATTATCCGCTGAATCTGGTCTGAAGTCTTCCTTTCAAGCCCACAAAATACATGAGAAGACAGCAGCATATTCACTTAAAAGGGTCTGCAACAGGTCATCTTTGAGCCCACTCACGCGGCGCTTGAAGAATTTGCTAAACAACTTAATGCTTAACACTCTTAGTCTGGGAGAAATAGAGCAGGAAAGGGCTCCTATGGGGAAAGCTCCCTTCTAAGTATTTCCCCGGCAGGCCCACAGCATCATCCCTTCTGCCTTCCCAGAAGGAGTCAACACCAAGGTCCCAACAATAAGAGCGGGTGTCCGATGAGATGTTCGGTCTACCTGTTGCCCTCAAGGAAGGGTCTGGCTCAGTGCTGAAGAGAATGAAGTGTTGCAAAGCACAATCCTGGCAGTAAGGACTGATCAAAGCAGCAGGAGAGAAGCCATCAGAGAGCATGAAGCCTCCCTGTTTAATTCCTACACTGTTTCCCATTACGTCCTGTGCTGTTTTAAATTATCATTTGCAGCTGACACAGAAAATAAATATCCTGCTTTTGGATTAGACCTCGCATAAAGCACATCCGACCTCCATCATTTCAAAGCCCCCTCGAATTCCTGTTTCCATGAATTTATGGCAGCCTGGGCAGGGTGTTAATTAGTTCCACATCTCTTGGATGTGCCTGGGTCCCTGGGGAGAATTAAAACAAGACAGATAATCTTTGAAAAGGTTTGAGCTTTCATCAGTGGGAACAGCAAGACAGAGGGCTTTGTTAAAATTATTTTTGCAGGAAAAGATGACAAAGACCTGGTATGATCATTCAGTGCAGAAACCAGTGTTATGGCTGTGTAGGAGGCTCTGATCAGATTTCTAGTCTGGGTTCTCTCATTAAGCAGGTTATAAGCTTTTTGTACCTTCCTGAAGGTAAAAGGGATTATTACAACCTTCTCCTGTGTATCTCACACCACTGATTTTTTTTACCTAGGAATTCCTGCCCTGGGGATATGTGAGCCAAGAGGCAGAACTACTCACCTCAGCCCAGCTTTTAGGCAATACATAGCCCCATTGTCTAGCTAAAACCCACCCTGTTCTCCTGGGGACTGATACCCCTGCCTACTTCTTTGCCCCCACCTCCCCACAGTATAAGCAGGCATGGAAAAATAAAGTAATGGGACACACTTTCTTTGGGGAACAGTGACAGGAAGACTTGTATGAAGCTTGAGTCTATTGCAAGCCCTCTGCTTCCTAGTTTTGGAGTCAGAACTAAGTGAACACACAGTTGTTGGGACCCAGAGGCCTTCAGGCCTGGATTTGACCTTTGTGTTTAGCTCAAGCTGCATATTTAGCTTGAATTGTGGTTGAGACAAAAGGTCAGCCAGACCCAAATGGGCCTTTTTAAAAAGGCATTAGATGCAGGTTAGGAATAAGATTCATTACTGGCAAGGGATTTTAGAAAAGCATCACCACTGCCATCACCTTAGTGGCAAGCAGAAGAACACAAGAGGGAAGGCGCATTAGCAAATAAAGGGTGAGGGTGAAGCTGGCAGTGGCCTGGTCTGTATCAGTTCTTCAGCATATTGAGCACTGCAAGAAAGAAAAATCCATGGAGGAGCAACATGAATGGGCTTCTGACTGGAGCCTGCTTCAGCCAGGATGCTGGCTATGGTAGCAGAGCCCTCCATGAGCCTGGGGCAGTAAGGAAAGCATCCAAGTTGCTCCTAGAAGCTGAGAGAACTGCCTGGGAACATTTGGACAAGACAGTAAAGTGTCAGATACCATTAGGTGTAATGCTGTCAAGAACCAAAACACTAAGAGCTGGTCTTTGCCAATTAAAAGATAAACCAAAAAACAAGCCACATTATTTCTTCTCTGTTTTTAAGTCTGGGTAGGGACAATCTGGGTGTGTCTACACGTGCTTTTATGTACACCTAAAATTGATGCGCATTAGCCTACAAGGTGATTTAGGCACACATCTACATGTGCCTGCACTAATACACAATGAAATGTATGGACTGACTCAGAGTTAGTCCCAAGTCAATCGACACACACTGCATTAATGTGTATTAACACATCTACTCGTTCACTAATTGACTTAGCTATTTGTGCATAAATTTGATACCTGCTTTATGCAGGTATTAAATTTAGGCTCTGACAGCCTTAAATTGCCGCTTTTAAGGCACGTTAAAAGTGTGTATGTATAGACATGCACCCTTAATGCACCTTAAATCAGGCGAAGGTGCATTAAATGTGCATGTGTAGACACACCCTCTGTGTGTGAGGAATGTTTCCTATCAGTTATCTCAAGGAACCAGACTGGCATAAAAGCCTGTAATATCACTTTCCTTTTAGTGCCTATTACATGTTTTTCTATAGAGATCCACGTTTCATGGACATGCACTCAACATATTAGCTCTGTGCCTATTTTATAGTAAGCACATGTTGTCGAGGTCTTGCAAAGTTGCAAGAGGATGTTTACAGAGACCTCAAGTAGGAGACAAAGCAAAAGACACTTTTTACTTGAGACCTTCGCTAGCTGCCACCTTCTTTGCCCCCAAACAGTTATTTCAGCTGTGTCTTGTAGCACTGGTTGCACTGGTGCTGAACGAACGTAGGTAAAGCCTTTCTTGGGACCCAGAAACCATCCCCGTGCACTTGCAAACTCAAAACCAGGTGCTAAATTCCCAGTGCTCTCACTCTGACTGAACTCCCTCCCAGTTAGATTTCACCAGCAGCAAGTGCTTGGAGCCATATCTCTCCCACTGCTTACAGGCAGAGCAGCTGCTGACCATGGTTTTAGACTGTGTGTACTGCTTTTAAACAAGCCAGGCTTGGTCCTGTGTTACTCTCCCTACTGTATTGGCTCAGTTCCCCACTCAGCACCTTTGTTTTACCATCACCAAATTTCAGCCCCTTCCCTCTTGGCAGTAACCAGAACTGGCTTGGTGGCTTGGATATTTAACTTCTTGGTTGGTTGCATGAGACCTGAACCTCACTCAACTACATTTACTCTGGTTCTCCACATTTTTTCCTTTTAAGCCACAAAGGGATTTTTGGGGCATGCCCAAGAAACCTTAACCACCATTTCAGAAGTCCTGACCTGAGTGTCTACCTGAAACACAGCTGCTCAGATCACATGGACTTTCTATTGGATTTGGGTTATTCATTTCCTTAGTGTCCTGAAAAAATTCTGGACTAGAAAGGCAGCTAGTTGGGACACGGGCCAGATGCATCTGCAAAGCGACTAATATTTTCTGTTTTGCTGCCCAAACACACAATTCTCATACAAACATGTCAGTTGGGTTAAGACTTCATTGCATGGAAGTTTCTATTACTGTCAGTATTTGGTTTCAGAGCCATTTATTTGGGCATTTTACACTGCTGTTCAGCTCTTTCCAGCATCCAAGTGCTTGCTGCAGCAATTAGGGATAAATTAGAGGGGCAGAAACGTGTCTGAGTATCTACCTCATGTCCATAAGCCAATGAAGAACAGACATTGCTAATGGAAAGGCTCCAACTTCCTTTGGCCTTTATTTCACCCTCTGGGGATTACTCCTTACATATCTCCCACATTTTTCCTCTTGCCCGCTTCACTCCATGAAACACTGCGAGGTTTGTCCAAACCTGGCATTGTGTCAGCCGCTTTGGAAAGCTGTATGGATGTGGTGAGACTTTAGGGCTTATTCAGTGAAAACCAGGAGTCAACTTGTCACACAATACCCACATCTCTTTGTAGGACGATCCCAGAGCAGCCCTTCTCATTCCCAGCTCCCATGTTTCCTTTTGGGTATCCTGCCACTGTCTCCAATTCAACAGATGCCCAAAGAAAGAACTTTTTATTGCTCCCTTCTCTCTGCTGATAAAAGCCCACTATCCTCCTTACCAGATCAGACGAAGGCAAGCATCCTTAGAACAAGTCATCCGTTTTCAAGGGAAACACCCAGGGAAATTCTCCACCTCTGAACACTCTTCCTCCCCTTCCAAACCAGCAACTTCCCGACCAGGGAATGGCAGCCTTTTCCCTCTGTGGGGTTTTTTCCGTGGTCCTCATTATCAGCTGTCATGCATCTTACAGCAGTGATATTTACCTGTCTGCAACTTCAAGACCTTTGCACAGCTTTCTCCCTATTAAGAAGTTCCACAAACAGGTCACCAGCTCCATACTGCAAAGGCACTGCAAACAAGAAGCACACTGTCTTCTGCACTCCAAGGGGCCATGCATGGAGAGAAAACTGTTGTTCCAAGATCTTAATCAGCCACTGAACACAACCCCATTTCTCCACCTCTATCATCCCAAGGCATCTGCATGGCACACAGCCTGGTTTTCCCAGCAGACAGGTTTGTTGA